GAAACAAACCCATCAGAGAAATAGCAAAAACATTAGCCGTGGTCAGATCAATTATTTGGTACATTCTTAATAAGAAAAAATGTACTGATGAGTTCGGAAACACCAAAAGACCCAGAAGACCAGGGAAAACAACTGTGGTGGATGACATAAGAATTCTTTCCGTGGTGAAGAACAGTTGGCCAGATCAAGAGCACCATCCAGGAGGTAGGCGTATCTGTGTCATAATCAACAGTCAAGAGAAGACTTCACCAGGAAATACAGAGGGTTTACCACTAGATGTGAATCGTTGGTAAACCTCAGAAATAGGAAGACTAGATTAAAGTTTATTATAACAGAATGATGTAAAGAGAATAGTATTGAGAAGGGAAGGAACAGCTCATGCATATCAATTCAGATGTCAAGCATGGCGGAGGTAGTATTATGGCATGAGCATGTATGGCTGCCAGTGAAACCGATTCCCTTGCATTTATTGGTTATGTGGCTGCTGACACGATGAACTCTGCATGATGTGTACATGGCTATATTATCTTGTGAAAATCAGCCAGATGCTTCAAAAATAACTGGGCAGCGCTTCACAGTGCAGATGGACAGGGCCTGATGTGTACTGGGAAAGCACCCCAACATTTTTTTAAGGCAAAGAAGTGCAGTGTTCTATGTGTTCTGTAATGGCCAAGTCCATCACCTGACCTTAATTTCACATACTGAAGGCAACACTAAGGGTAAAACGCCCCAAGAGCAAGCAGTAACTGAAGACAGTTGCAGTAAAGGCCTGGGTTCGATTCCCGGCTGGGCAACCAGGGTTCTTTCTGTGTGGAGTATGTTCTCCCTGTGTCTGTGTGGGTTTCCTCTGGGTGCTCTGGTTTCCTCCCACTGCCCAAAGACATGTAGTCAGGCCAATTGGACACGCTAAATTGCCCTTAGGTGTGAGTGTGCATGTGTGTGTGTGTGTGTGTGTGTGTGTGTGTGTGACTATTTATGTTTGTCTGTCTGCCCAGCGTTGGACAGGTGACCTGTCCAGATTTCCTGCCTTCTGCCCAATGACCGCTGGGATAGGCTCCAGCTCCCGCCGTGACCCAAAAGGATAAGTGGCTTAGAAAATGTGTGTTCAATTACTTTTGAGCCTCTAAAAATTAAGGGGTATGTATTAGATTGGTTTTAATTCCTACACCGTTCAGGCCATCTGGATGCAACTACGCCTAAATAAAAGCTGAAAGTCTGCACTTTAAACTCACATTCATTATTTATTTTCAGCTCTTTCAGTTTGCTTTGGTAGACAGCTAATAACTTATTTTCATCCAAATATTTATTGGTAATATATTCTTTGAATAGCCCACTGCCGATGCTTTAAGATGTTTACCTCACATTTAACTTATCGCTGCCGTCAGAAGAAAAGCTCCATTTTTCTCACTTTTCAGTTTTTGACATAATTTGAAAATACCTGTTGCCATTTACAATGTGTGTATTACAATGTTTGTAAATTTCATGTTGAATGGACCAAAAGAAACGGCCCAAAATGACTTGGAAAGATATCTGGTTCCATTGACTTACATTAAAAGTAAAGAATGTTTTTTCCTTCTACTGTAAAGTTACCATTGTGGAGATACAAGGTTTTCTTCGGACAACAGCGTTACATTCAACTAAATATCTAACTTGCACCTTAGGTATTCCTTACTGTAACCCCAGCCCTACCCTTAACCATAACCCAGGGCTGCACAGCTCCGGTCCTGGAGGGCCGGTGTCCAGCACAGTTTGGTGATTTATCTGCTCCAACACACTTGATTACACGTATTTGTTAACTGCCAGGTCAAGAGGGTGTGTTTGAGCAGGGAAACCTCCAAACTGTGCTGGACACCAGCCCCCTGCCCTAACCCTGAAGTCTAACCCTAACCCTGCTCCTAAACCTAGCCCTGGTCCTAATCCTAACCCTAAACACTTGAGAATCAGAATTTTACCAGATACCTTGACAGCAATTTGAATGTGTGTAGATAATGAACCAAACATCAAACGTGTCCTAGCTGACCGACTGCATTTGGGTTAAAGGGGAAAACCGTGTACATTTGATTTTTCGCTGAGATGTCGCCTCACTGTCACAGCAAGGGGTTCTTTTTGAACTGCAAGCAAGGTCTAAATGGCTCAGGCCTTTACCGGGGGACCCCTTTGTCCATCTGATCGCTCTGTGTGCTGTGCTCTTCGCTCGGTTGCTATGAAGCAGAGCTCCTGGGACACGGCTGCGTCTGTCAGGGCAAATATCCTGTTCGATGACTCATTGCTCGAGCAATCAGAGACGGAGGCGGAGGCGGCCCCAGTCCGAGGCTGGACGCTGTGTGCTGGGCCTGTCTCCTCCTGCGGACTCGTCCAGGCCATTGTTATTTTCGTAAAGCCAACAAATGGTTGCTAAGGTAAACAAGCTCCTTAACGGTGCGCAAACAGCAATGATGAAAGTGGTGCAACAGGCAGGTGAGGGGCGTGAAGTGGCGGTGCTTGTGTTCAGGAGGAGGGCACTGGGTTCAGCTAGACATTCACAGGTTTCTGTAGTTTTCCTGTCTGTCTGTTTTTGTTCTCTGATCATAATGAGATGGCACAGTGGGTAGGTGGTGACATCAGTCATTCTGATTCTGTTATATATACTTTCAAACAACTCAGTTATCTGTTCTTGTGCAGGTTATTGCTCGATGTCAAGAAAATCCAATGACTTTTATTCTTAATGTTTTCTGTTTTAGCAGTGTCTAATTGCGTCACCTCACTAGGGCTGACTATCTCATGATACAGTATTCTGATTGGGTGTATCACAGTGGTTAAAGCTTGTGTCTCCGCTGGTCGTAGCTCAGACGTGACGAATGTGTAGCAGACAGCAAGCTGAGTATAGAAGCCATTAAGGGTGTAACAATACATACAATACGTCGCTATGCACATTGTGGAGAGCAGCTTTGTATGGGCACCAAAGGTCACAGTTAACATAACCCACACCATTATGTACATTATCATTGGGAATACTCCAGCTTTAACTCTTTAAGGCCGACACAATACAGAGCTTATTTCTGCTGTTTGATGTACTCTTTTAAAGTTTCATTTAGTTTGTGTCACAATTGCACGAATTGGACTAAACCTCATTAGCGCTGGCCCTGATAATTCCAATACTTGTAAAGTAGCCTCAATACACTGGAAGTACGGCGCAGGAGCTGAAACTACCACACCAACAGCATCATCACATCTCTATAGATAGTTTACACTTCACTTATGCACAAACTTGCATCTAGCACAGCCGGTGATGAAACTCTTATTAAAATAGAAGCGTATGTGTTTCATCAAACGGACAACGAAGAGCACTTGAAAAACTATAGGTTTTAAGGGTGATTTTGAGAATGAATATTCGAGTACCTGTTTAAAAATATCAAAGAGTATCAGAGGCCTGTAAAATGCTGTTCAGGCCAGCCTTTTTACTTTACACATCAGAAACTACAGCAGTGCATCCAACAAAAAGGGCAGCATGGAGCTTCTTTTACACAGTGATAGGAAACACAGTAGCGCATAGAAAGCTCCAGTTCCACATGCTGATCCATTTTACTATGAGCAGCGTGGACATGCACGCTTACCAACTACTCTGGGGGCAGATTTTAATGAGTTACGTGGGATTTTGCCGACATCTGAATGTATCACTGGTGAGGTGTTTAATTTGATAAGGTTAACACATTTAGATTCTCTTATTTTTTAGGTTCATAGTTCTGGACTTGTACCTTCCTTCGCAAACTTGCAATGCGTTTCCAGTATCACTAGGCTGGTTTAGAAAGGAAAGGTAATTGTAAATAGAGCTTTTTCATAAAATAACAGATCTCAGGTTTCCTTGCCTTGTTTTCATATTGTTCCTTTTAACATACTCTGTAGGAAATTCATGACGCATGAATTTGTATGGCCGTTTCCAGTTTCTTTACTGCAAAATGGGTCTTTTTTGGTGGATTTTTATTTGTCTTTTTCTGAATCTCATGCTGTGTGGGATAAGTGAGCACATGAAGCAGACTAGCACATTTTCAGTTCTTTTTATTCGCCAAACATAAACAACATAATTTGTTCTTTAATGTGCCAAACTGGCATTTAAAATTATTCTATTTTTAAATCAGATGCCTATTTAAAGGGGAATTCCATTGATTTTGCAAAATTTCTGTATTATGCAATTATTCAGATGTAAACATCTGAGTCAGAATCGATCACAGTGGTGGTGATGGGAACCAGGAGTCTGAATGGTTTTTATACCTCTAAAAGCTCCCTCACACAAAGTTATAATAAGAATTTGTTATAAATATGTTGCCTGACGCCTGGGACATTGTTTTATGGTAGCTCTGACATAAGATTGTGGGTCCATTCTTGGCAGAGAGGTACCTGCAGGATGCTGTAAACCGAAATAGTCCCCGAAGAATACATAAAACTAAGACAACACATGTAGGTTCACTGGTTGTTTTGGATAGTAAATATAATGATCATATGTGTTATAGACACTATTCCTGATGCCACCTTTGCAAAGACATCTGAGGCTGTAAGTTTCTCTTCAGTGAAACATTTCATACTAAAACAAAATGTAAATATTATATTTTTAAAATATTAATATTACATTTTAACAATTGAATCAGTGAAATGCCACTTTAAATAACATGAATCAATTTAAAGGTCTGGATTAAAAGTAAGAGGCAACTGGCTGTTCAGCACAATGAGTCATGTGTAATTATGCTATGATATTTTGGTTTAGGTGTGACAGCAGCATCCAAATACAGTGTGAGGCTCTCAACTGACTAATTTTATTTACCTCATGAAACGGCAGCACAAATCCGATAAAATAAAAATAATACATCGGCCGTGTTTTGAGCAGAAATCAGCCATTTATGATCATTGATGATTACAAATGAGCATCCTTATCATTCTGAAATCTACCAACTCAAGTTTAACTGCATCAAAAAGTTTAGGCGCCTCTGTTCTGGTGGGCGCTGATTTGATTTCTGTTCTCTCTCTAGGTGATGGAATAGGTGATGTCTGAAGTACAGGGCACTGTGGAGTTTTCTGTGGAGCTGCATAAATTTCACAATGTGGATCTCTTCCAGAGAGG